GTTAATGCCAAGTATCCATGCCCACTTCCTTTTATTTTGACCCTCTTTTAAGAACTTCGAAGAATGCTAGTTAACCATCACGGTCCATCCTCCTTGGTGCCAAGGCCTAGCAATGACTTTCTTTATAACCACAGGCATTTGTAAATGAACCCAATTCACTCTCCTTCTGATCATTAAGGAAATATGAATACATCCTTCTTGATTGGCAGGAATGCCTGGAAGTACTCATACTCCAGTCACAGAAAGGTGAAAACAGCCAAGCCACTAGATGCTTAACTCTTGATAACTTGTGACAATGGAGTCTACATATTTTGACAAGGTCTCACTTGTATGCCAAGCACTTGCCCCAAATCATTTTATGATTTCTGCAATATACAGAATTTTGTCATTTTTGCAAAGCCACAACAAGTAACAGATCATCCAAATAGACATGAGACGACTGGGTAATGAAAAGAACAATAGGAATCAGCAAGTGGCAATGAGACTAAAGTTGATTTTGCCCTCCTCATTTCTCTCTCACCTTCCACCCCTCAAATCTTAGAATTTTAGTGTATGTGTGCCCATACTCAGATGTATTCCTCTTCCCTCCCAAATTGCCTTATCTGTCCCATATGTCTTAATCAAGTTAGCACACCACATGAAGATCATTCAATGGATTTAATGCTCTCCATTGAATCTTATTTTATCAAGACTATTTGCAGTAAGCATTAGACACTGCCTACTCAGAGCTTTTATACTGATATCCAGGCCTCCCACCAATGGCCCAGGGAAGTCCTGTTTGGTGTAAAAAATCATGGTGGTCCCATTCCCCTTGTTGGAGATTGCGTCAAACCAGTAAGATGTGATGGGAAGTCTGGAGAACTTCTGGGGGAAATATCATCATAGCTCTTAAAAAGAGAAACAAAGAAAAAATAATGCTTTTTCTGCCTCTGGACAACCACAAATGCGCAAGGATGCAACACAACATCTTATGACACTGACCTAGACATAGACAGCACAGTGATGCTGGCTGTGAGCAACACCATAGAAATAACCTGAGTTATTTCATGAGCCAAGAAATTAACCAACCCTTAGGGCTGATTCTGTGTAATGAGAAATAGATCCTTTATTGTTTAAGCCATTTCGAATTGGATTTTCTGTTTCTTACAGCCCAGAGCATCCTAAAGGATACAATACCTCTTTGTAGAAGCAAGAAAAGGGCTCTACCCCTTTCACAACATCCTAGCAACAAAGGAATAGTTGCTTCAAAAAAAGAAGAGACTAAGATTGATTTCTCAGTAAGTGTTTTGGGAAAACCAGCTGTGAAAAGGTATTTTTAATAGCCACTCCTGATGTATGGAGAGTCCTTTGAAATCCTCCCAATGCAGCATAAACACTGTAATAAAATGATGATGAGTCACTGTGAATGGTATGTGTGAGGATATGCAACATACTTGGAGTCATCATAATATGTAAACATTAGGAAACTACCATGAAATTTGTCTTTATTATTCATCTACTCTTATTTCTTTCTACAATTATAATATTGGGAATTTTTTGTCTTCTCCACTCCTTTTACCTGATGAAAAGGCAGAATCACATGATTAGAAGGGAACTCAGAAAACTGAGGCTGAGAGAGGTTGACTAATTTTCACAAGATCCCGGAGCTAGCTGGGGACCATTTTATTATTAAAAATGCTTTATGCAAAATAAAAAAAATGTTTTATGCATGATTTTAAAACAAAACCATTTGCTGAACACTCAATTTAATGCAATGTCAAACTGTAAGGATATGGGAAATCAAAACTGGATTTTTTTTTTTAGTAATTTGATTATGAAATCTCCTTTTTGAATTCACTGCTTTGAGCTTCTTTGTCCTACTTCTATTAACTTCCTAAATGCCAATCCTTTCCACTCAAAATCATTTCTCTCTCCTAGAAAATCCCTGCATATGGCCCATTCTCTTGGCCAGGGTTCTCAAAAGACTTTGCATCATAATTACCTGGGAAATAAACCAGACATGCAGATTCCCAAGGAGAGTCCAATTTAGTAGAGCAGGGGTGGGGTCCCTCAATATCAATTGTAAACAAACATCCCAGGTGAGTCTAGCTGCGCTTTGAGGCACATGACTCCAGACTGTATACTAGATTCCAGGATCCAAATAGAAAACATCTAGTTATCATAGTAGATTTAAGCTGGAACAACAAAAATATGTGCATAGTTGCCTATAATTTTTATGTTCCCTCGGAGGTCTGAAACAAACCCAAGAGCTCTGTGATTTGGATGCACCCTGGTAATCATTTGCTTGGAGGCTTTGAGATTTTAGCCTTTTCCCCTAAGACCTTTTTCCCTCTGAATGCATTTCTACTTGGGATTAAATATAAAATGTCTTAACTCTCTCTCCACAGCGAAAAGAAATCAATTTTAGAAAGTTTCAAAAGAGCACTTTAAAAATTGCACAATACAAAGTATCTTCTCTTTGAACCAGACGATAGAGAGATGCACAGGGCATACAGGATAGGTAATGAGAGCAGTGAACATGGGTTTTCTAGCAGATCTAGCCCTGAAATCAAAACTTAGGAAGGAAGTTGACCATTAAGTAAGTGGACCAGAGGAACAATAGCTCAGGCATATCAGAGAGTAAGTCTGAAACTGAGAAAACTGGAATCAGACAAACCCCTTATCCCAAGTTAACTATCCCTTCCTGGTCAATTTTAAAATAGGACAGTGCTGTAAATGAGAATATAGCATTTAAATGGAATCTTAGAACTCCTCTGGGTGCCAAAGCATTTTTTCAGAACTAAATAAATACTCCTTACTGGAATGAGCAATGCTCATTTATACCCATCTCCTCCAAGACACTTTTAATTCCGATCTTCTGAGACCAAGAACATAGCCTACTGAGAATTTAAGTCCGTGTGTCATAACATCGGCTCTGACCAACTCACACTATGGTCTCTATGTAGATTCCTTAAGGATTAAATGAACAAAGAAATGCCACATAACCTCATAGAATCAAAGAAAATTATTGTGATTGTGAATCAAAGACAAGACATAATGCTCCATAAATGCTATACTGTAAGTAACTCCAGCAACAAAATTGATTTGCATTTGTTAGAAGGCAAAAAGTCGAGGTCACAGCTGTCACTTGCATATTCCAGTTGTACTCCTCGTTAGGTTAGGGACAAAGATGAACTGAATTTAATGGGGTTTGGAACACAGAGGTGGACAAGAGGGAGAAAGTGAACCATCCCCCAAGAGATAAACAGGCTCAAGTGTTTAAGAGCTACCTTAACAGTTTTCGATGTTTTTTAAAATCTTTTTCTTCCCCCTTTTAAGATTCCTAACAATCTCAGGGCACTTTACAAATGGGCAGATGCAGTAGTGAGTCCGCTGGATCACTGTTTACTCTTGGTCATGCTCAGTCCTGTTAAGCTCTCATCACAATTCCACAACTTGGAAAGCCCACTGCTCCCAGCTAGTTCCGAAGCCTTCTCCTCCAGCTGCTCCCAGGAGGCTCAAAGCCTAGTGGCCAAAACAGAGCAGCCATCGAGCATTTCCACACACACTTGGCCAGAGTATGTACCCAGAACTTGCTCTGTTTCAGTAAAGGCCCATCAAGTGTGCAAAATTTTGTAGCTAAGATCTAAACCAGCTTTTCTATTGAACAAATGCCTGACTGGGTTGTGGGGAATAGGCACCAAACTGTCATCTCATAACATCTGGAGTCACTTTTCAAACCCAGTTCTCATTATTTTAAACACACTTCATCAGGATTCTTTGACATTTTTTGGGCATTCCCCTTGTAAGCTTGCACGTTCTCTGCTATGCTTAATTGTTTCTGAACATGCAGTCCCGATACCGCACGGCAAGAGAGACATTTGACCGCTAACAGAGCAATCCTTGACTCTGCCTAATTGCTTCTGACCAACATGCTACACACTCTTGCTTCTTCATAATTAAGATCTGCGGAAATCTTTATGGTAACACATACACTCTCTCTCCACAAGGCAGTATCAACATGCTTGGTAGAAATATGAAAACAAACCATCATAACCTTCCTCAGCTGACTATCAACTTATCCCAAAGAAATGACTTAATGGCATGAGCAAAGTGTGGGTAAGGACCAAATGCATAACACATCAATCAGTTCCATAGAGTGTACGGCTTAACGGTTTAAGTTAGCTGTTACATTCTGTCCTTTTTTTATACTCCAGTCTCCAATCAAGAACATTCATCCAAGTCAATGGAAGATTAGAAGGTATGCACATGTAGTCACTGACACAGCAAGGGAAGTCAGGAAGGCCATTCCCAAAACGGTCCAGCAATAGTAAATAAACAAAAATTCAAAACCATTCCAAGAGTAAATATTCTTTGCAGGACAATCAGGCCCCATGCTGAATGCCTTGCTTATCTCAGAGGGCAAGTAGGCATTTGTCAAAGATAGTTTCTTTATTCCCTAGGCTTTAACACAGGTAACTTTTAAAAGCACTGACATTGTAGATAAATAAAGGGGCTCCTACTATCCAAATCTGACTGATGAAGAAATTAAGGTCCATGGCTTGTCCAGGGCTCACTGAGTGGCTTCTTAAGAACACAGTCAACTATAGAACCCAGGCCTCTTTACTACAAATCCCAGGTCTATAAATCCACAACATATTCCTATTTGTCTCTGATCATCAAAAGAACACACAACTCCTGAAAACTGGGCTTAGTGACCTGGTTATCAAGGAGGACATATTCCTGTTTGCCCTTGGTCATCACAAGAGCAAAAGCCCCCTGACCTCTCTGCCTGGTGGCCTGGTATCTTGGGCGCTTCCCCAGCCTCCTCTGTAAGGACCATGTGGCATTTACTGCTGTTTCCACTGCAGTTAACATTTCACACATTTCTTTCCTAAGCCTCCAGCATTTCTGATGCAATAGTGGGAGAGGGAAACCTGAGCAGAACCGAGACCAGCTTTAGTGCTAAGACATGAACTTTCCAGGAGTGAGAAGAGGGTAGCATTCAGTCTTAAACCTACTTTGCCAAGTGGTTCATGAGCAGCTGTAACATCTGTCTATTTTTCTCTGGGAGCCGATGAACAAGGCTGTGGATTTCAGAGACCCGAGACTCCTGGTTTTCCAACTCTGCAAAGGAAGGAAGAAGGTAATATTTGATCAGTGTCACAGCCAAATCAGATTACAAAACAAAATCAAAGGAAACCAAAGGTTGGGCACTAACAGACGGAGGATTTCTCAAAGGTTTAAGAGCCTGTTCTATGGACTCATGGCTAGAGCTAGCAGTGTTTTTCTTTTT